AGACAGACAGACAGACAGACAGACAGACAGACAGACAGACAGACAGACAGACAGAGACAAAGAGAGAGAGAGAGAACGAACAACGGAAGACTCACTCTGGTACATGTTGGCTTGTATGATGTCTCTCAGCCTCACAGTCCATGCACTCCACGAAGACTGGCACGTCATGGTCTCACAGTAGTCAGTCCCCACACAGGATGGTGATTGGTCTTCAACTCCTGATTGTCAGTCTCCTCCCTCACACAGGACTCTCTCAAGCAAAGGGCTCCTCCCACACAGGTCAGTAATTGGTTCTCAAAGTTTGGTTGTCAGAGCCTGCACACACATGAGACTCCGCCCACACAGGTCAGTAATTTGTTCTCAATGTGTCAGAGTCCACCCACACATGAGACTCCGCCCACACATGAGACTCCGCCCACACACAGGACTCCGTCCACACACAAAACTCTACCCACGCGATTCTACACACTCACAAGTTAGTGATTGGTCTTCAACTCTTGGTTGTCAGACTCCGCCCACGCACAGGAATCCGCCCACGCACAGGAATCCGCCCACACACAGGTCTGTGATTGGCCAGCTACACTTTGATGCCAGACGACCATTGCACGATTGACGAGTTTGCAGAGCATGAAAATAACTGACCCAGAGAGAACCAGTGAAAGTTGGTTCGGTCTCTGCGATGTAGATTTTAGTGTCACTTTCAGTATCACTAAATTTGAAACCTGATTATGCTTTATTGTCTCTCTTGTATTTCTCCGATGCAATTTAAAACATACAGTCGAGAAATGAGTTTACAATTATTGTTTCCACTGAAGCCATGATTTCGTAGCTTACTTTGAAACGAATTTTCATTTTTGTTTTCTTTTTTGAAGTCATAAACAACAAAGGTCATGCTTGTTTCCTTGAAAAGACATGTCTTTCTCAGCACCAGTCCTTCTGTATATTATAATGTATATTATACCACACATCACGAAATCGTGGGCGTTTTAAACAGAATCAGCTTCTCTGAGGAATAGTGCCAAATAACGTTCAATTACAGTTTTAAATAACGCTAGAGTTGAACTGGTCTGACACATGTGCCAACGTTTCGCTCCATCATTATCATCATCTTCTTCATCATCATCATCATCATCATCATCATCATCATCATCATCATCATCATCATCATTAAGAAAAAACAAACAAATTATTTGCTTACTAAAGCGGCTCAACCGTTTCGCCTGGAATACTCTTTCAGGAGCGAATGAAAAAATGAACATAAAACGTTGACACAGTAAAATAATTAAATCTGCAGAAGGACGAGCCTCACAAAGGCGGCCTTTTAGTTAGTGCCAAGGGAAGGGGGAGAGGTTTGGCATGCCTCAGCGTGAGCCAGGTCAAGAGGTTAAATGTTGAGGAATCAATGCTCACACTTAATCTCTTTTATCATATTATGTGAGTGCCGTTGCTGTGGTAGGGTCGAAGGTAAAAGCAAATAAATTTAAAGGGCTCGACGCTATATCTAGTAAGTTTTGGAGAAGAGTGGTAATTAAATGGTTAGAATACTCTAATAAAGACACAGACTATGTCCTCTCGTTAAACGACTCTATTTTTAATAACGAATATATAATCTATAAAAATCAAACCCTCTTTTTACCATCTTGTATACAAAGGGGCATTTTAGCAATAAAGGATATAACTACCCAGGATGGACGGTTACAGTCTTTAGAAGAGTTCAGAGAAAAATATGGATGCAATCCACGTTGTGTTTTAGACTACAATATTATATCAAATGCGATGAGGAATGTGTATTTTAATGATGAAAAGGATGACAACTTTCTATTTCAGGGACACAATTGTAGGTACTATAGGGAGAAAACGTTTTCTTTTAGCATTAAGTAAAATTGAGCCACCACTGTGCATAGGTATTTGGAAAAGGAAATATGGCGTTGATATTAATGAAAAACATTGGCAAATAGTCCATCACGCTAAGGAAACACGTTTGAGAACATTAAATTGGAAAGTACTACATAATATTTATCCCACAAACATATTACTCTTCAAAATGAAATTAAAGGAATCTCAAAACTGCGCATATTGTAATGAGCCTGATTTTATAGAGCATTTTTTTTAATTGTAAGAAGGTCCAGCCATTTTGGAGAGAAATTGAGAAAGATTTACAGGTCCACCTAGGTACATCAATTGTAATTAATGAGAAAATAGTTTTACTTGGGGCAGTGAAGGGAATCGATGTAGGTCATCGGGAATGGGGGTTAACAAATGCAGCTATTGCAATCGGAAAATTAACTGTATCTAAATATAAGTATGGGAAAGCAAGACATATCATAGAAATTTATGAGAGTGAATGTAGTCTCAGACAATTGTGGGCTAAGAGCTAAAGGCTAGGCTTCCAGTCTCCATCTCATGCCACTTTTGTTTCGTCCCCGCATGAGAGCGAGTTTAGTGCAAGACTGTTATATACAGCTATGTGTGTGTGTGTGCAAATGTGTGAGTGTGTGTTTGTGTGTGTGTGTGTGTGTGGTTGTGTGTGTGCGTGTGAGTGTGTGTGTGTGTGTGTGTTTACGTAATTTAATTATGCAATGTGTACTTCTTAACATCTCTTTGCCTTTATTATACTCTTAGTCAGACTTAATGGTGCCATTCGCGGTCGCGTGTCATCACATGGGGTTAGAATAGGGAAGTAATTTGATATAACATTTCCTGCACTTAATACTAACTAGTTTGTCTTTCCATTTCATTAATAGTGGCCTATAAATGTTCTATATCTTTGGAGACGGGGACTTTTTATGCCCGTGGTGTCTGAGTTGTCGCTGGACGCAACTTCGCTTCCGGTCCTCCAGTACTGCGTGTTGCTTTTTGTGTGCATTAATGTATTGATATACTTGTGGTGAATTTGCTGATCACTCTTTAGGAAGAGGCAATCCTGTAATTCTCTGGTCGTCTAGGCATGGTTTTTCAGGCTTTTTACATGCTCTGACGACCACAGAAGTGCCTCGGGACCGGTTGCGAACGACGATAACGATAACCTGTAAGCACACAAGTTAGTCTGCTTTGACTATGAAAGTTAATTTTTACGAAGATTATTGGCCACATTCCTTTCACTGTTTTGAAAATATGATAGCATAGACTTAGGGTAACAAACACACTAGCAATGTCATCACTTAGAAGCCCCCCATGTGATTTTTCGGCCTACTTTTATTAAATGCTAGGGATGAAGATGACGAATTATTTCCAAATTTTTGGTCACTCTATGCGAGGAGTTGGGAATGAGGGTTGTGTCCTGCCCCCCAGGACAGCCTGGTGGGGATCTAGAGTAAGCACCAAACAAACTTAACACTAAGACTAACACGCTTGTCATTTCCTACATCGGAACATCATCATCGCCAACATAAATAATCATCCTCATGCTCACTATCACAATTACCATTACCGTCACCATCGCCAACAACATCATCATCATCATCAGCATTATCATCATCATCATCATCATTACCGACTCAACAATTCCCCTTTCATATAACAATCTGCACCATTACTTTCTTTTTACGTAAGCAACAAAAACGGGCACCAAAATCAGAACACGGGGGGAAAAAATCTGCAGAAGGACGAGCCTCACAAAGGCGGCCTTTTAGTTAGTGCCAAGGGGAGGGGGAGAGGTTTGGCATGCCTCAGCGTGAGCCAGGTCAAGAGGTTAAATGTTGAGGAATCAATGCTCACACTTAATCTCTTTTATCATATTATGTGAGTGCCGTTGCTGTGGTAGGGTCGAGGGGAATTCACTTTGCTGACGGGATGACTGACGGTTGGTTAATTGCTAAAAAGACTAAGTGAGACAGACAATGGACAATGGAAAATGGAAATGTTTGAGACGACTTTGGAAAGTCGTGAAGAATAAATGGGGAGAGAATGTAAGTTTGTGTGTGCGCGCGTGTATGTGTGTGTGTGTGTGTGTGTGTGTGTGTGTGTGTGTGTGTAGCACAGGCATATAACACTGTGTGTGTTCGATATGTTGGAACTAGATCTAGCTATTTTGCTGTGAATACATACCTCACTTTAGTTGTGTACTTGTATGCGTGGCACCTTCCCCGTAGCCCTTCATTTGGCTGAAATTGGATCAAATGGGACGCTCCATAGTGAATCGGAAATACGTAAGAGTACACGAGCTAGGGAATATAATGACAAGAATCTATGAGTACAGCCCTTTGTTTTTGTTTTTTTTTAAATAAAGTTTTAAAGTAAAAGTGTGAAGGAAAAAAAGTTGAGTCTAATTTATTTCTAGTTCACTACAAATAAAGAGCATTAACTAAGAGATGGATAACTCGGCTATTTGAGACCCTTTAAGAAATCAGAAGATAATTCCTGTGGCGACATCTGTATTAGATCTATAGCGCATTTGATTTCATGCTGTGGGATGGACGTTTCTTGTATACTTGTACTATGATATCCTAGACCTAGCACTCTGACGTATGCCCTGTTCGCTAAGGAAGGTAGCCTGTGCATTCTTAAACTATGAGAGTGTAGGCGTTTAGCGGGTGCTCTGGGTGAATTTTTCCTCCTTTTTTTCCTATCAAACATCTATCGTCATGATCTCCCCATCTTCTTTCGTGTTTTTACTCTCTAGTAACACCTCTAGTCTTTTGCACTTATATGGCCTTATTGTGTTGCAAGTGCCGTAAAACTCTTACTGAATCAAAACAAACTCTGGACGTCTAGAGCGCACCATTTGAGCCAATTGAAGAGCATGGAGAGAAGGTGCTACAGTTTATGCATTGGTCTACACTACAAGAGATGGTACTATGCTCTTCATCTGGCTGGGCGTAATGGCACGCCCCGTGGTTTGCTCACTCCGCGGTGCAGTTTAAAAAGAGAGTGAAAAATGGTGGCGGCCCCGTCTCAATCTCTCTCTCTCTCTCTCTCTCTCTCTCTCTCTATATATATATAATATATATATATATATATATATATATATATATATATATATATATATATATATATATATATATATATATAAAAATAAATATCTGTCTATCTATCTATCTATCTGTATCCCTTTATGTTTATATATATATATAAAAATATCTGTCTATCTATCTATCTATCTGTATCCCTTTATGTTTATCAATATTATCTAATCTACCTTATCTTATTCATCTATCTGTCTGTCCCTTTATTTGGCTTTTAATTTCTTTTGATCGCATATCCTGCTGTTAATCGTGTAAGGTACGTATAAAAGGTGGAGGTGTCACGTCATAATTATCTAGTACAAACAATTTACCTGTTGCGGAAATCCCCGTCTGCAGATTCCAAAAAATGTCATAAAGTACAAAGTCTGTCCAGTCACAAGTAAGCTTTAGAGTAAACAAAAGCTGAAAGGAATTAGCCTTGAGAAGAAAATTTTCTTATTGTATAACTGTTTTCGGGATAGCCCCCTTGTGCTTAAAAGCGACCATATAATGACAAGAATCTATGAGTACAGCTCTCTGTTTGGTTTTGGGTTTTTTTATGCTTAAAAGTATGAAGAAAAAAAGTTGGGTCTAATACGCTAACTGAGCCAAATCAACACAATTCAGATCATATTGGAAGTAGATTGTTGAGATCCTGTTTAACAAAACCAACCCGGCCTGAAAGGGATACAAAATTACCGCCCACACACACACACACACACACACACACACACACACACACACACACACACACACACACACACACACACACACACACACACACGCACACACAAATGAGGAGATGCTAAATTCACGTGGAAAATCAAACTCACGTGTGTTTCTTGCAACACAGAAGAGGGCCACTCCATTACACCACAGGCGCAGGTAAAAAATAGATGTCTACTAACAAATAAAACATATTTCGTCTCGTCGCATCGCCTGGTTTTGTACTGAATGCCACTCTGCTCTCTACACACTCGAATGCTTCTTCGGAGTTATTACACCTCACCACACGATTTACCTTCAGGAATTCCATTAAGACAACCCAGGCAATCTCAGTCCTGGAAACTGGAACCTGAACTTCCCCCCTTCCCCCTCCCTTTATTCCATCTCCCCTTTCCCCTTTTTTCATCCCTCCCCCCACCCCCACACCCCTTCCCGTCTCCCTCGGCTTCAGCTGCTCGTAGTATGACTGCATCGCAGAAAGACGCAGGTATTGATCTTCCACTCTCCCGCCCCTTCATCTCCTCTGTCTCCTCAAACAATACTTCTACCTGACTGAATTCCAGTGTTTGGTTTAATGATAATAGTTTCCGAACTGCCATTTCTATTCACATGTAGTGTGTTTTCCCTAAAGCTCCTTACTTTACCTCCTTAGATTGATTGAGTTTTGTGTGAGTTTGAAAGCCATGCTCGACACAGATAAGTCACTTCGACAATGGAGGTCAGCCATGGTCCTGTGGAGAAAAAGGGACAAGATTGGCGACTGACTGTAGATAATTTACGCACCCATTGACCCGATTCAGGTCGTTCAAAAGACCGGTTCGCCCTTCCTGTCTTGACTAATCCGGGGAATTGAACGGGATACAGTATCCCAACAGACAGACAGGGATACTCGAAAGGATAGGTTCCTTGCACAAGATTCGACCTAATGTCATCGGTGTGTAATAGCGAAAAAGAGCTTAAACGTTGCACAGGAGATCTTGATTAAGAGGACAATAACGAGCAGGATAAAGTCATAGAAGACTGGGAAATTAGTGAAAACGTTTCACGCCCACATCGACTCAGCTGGGCGGTTAGAGTGTGCCACTGATGATAGGTTTCTACTTTTCTTTCCCTTCGTTGTTTCTGGCTGTCTGTGTGCCTTACTTTCTCTGAGTACGTGTACTAAATTACCGTTACTGTGTCGATGTGCTTTTTTTTTAACTCGTGGGTGGTGGGCAGGTGCTCTGGTGTGGTTTGCTCCTTCTTTCCTAACAAAATTCTATCGTCGTTACCTCTCCTACTGCTTTCATATGTTTATAACTCTCTTTAGAAAAAAAAAAGGGGGGGGGGGTGGCTACGTACCGAAAATCCCGATTCGGATCTACATTGTGGATTTTGAGTTGTGGGTATTTTTAGCCTTCTCAGCCACTCTTACAACTATTGCATCGCACAAGAGCCCCATAAGCCTTATTTCTTCCCATACCGAGAATGTTTGACCCCACCATTTGCTCATAAAGTCAATCTTTTATTTTTCGTTATCGCCCTTTTTCTCAAACGCGGTTTTTCTATATACTTTTTAAAAATAACTCCACCATCTTTAATCCAATCTTCATGAAACTTTCACAGAATGAAGAGAATATGTAATACTTAAAATTCGTCTGTTGAATTGTTTTTATATAATATGGAATAGATTTTTGGTGGTGGTGTCTGGATTGTAGATTTTCACGGATTTTTTGGCAAATTTGAATACTACCTCAGAAAATTTCTCATAACAAATGTTTTAATTCGTTCAGGAAAATTCAGCTGACAAATTTGTATATGTAATGTTATCTAACATGCATGCAAAAAAATCTATTTCCATGGAAAATAACTGCAGTATTCATTAAGGGCTGTTATGAAAACTGGGATTATCACTTATTATATTTCCTGGATATTTCCAGAACAATGTCCAAAGACGTATGAACAGTGGTATTTGAAGGGATTTTAGAGCAAAGGGTAGACTTTTAAAAAGAAAATAACTGCCCCTTTTTGTCTCCAAAAGCATGTTTTGCACCGCTCATATGCTTCAGTTTTAGTAAGAAACCTTAATTCTATTTCTGCTGTGTTAATAATATCAACTACTAACCATGTTTTAGTTTAAAATATGTTTTGAAGGTATTTCCTGCAAAGAGAATTATACTGGCCTTATCTGCCCTTTATCGGTCGTTTTCTCAAAATGCTATTTTCACGCACATCATCCCATTTTTTGCTTTGTTTCTAATTCAATTCTAGTGTAACTTTCACACAATGATAACGACAACTAGTTCTAAAAAAACGGTTAGGGAAATTTTCGATGGCATTTGTAGTTTTTGATAAATGGCCTCCAAAAGCCTGATTTTTCGGGGGGTTTTCACAATAATGCAATAAACCCATTTTTAAGTGCCATAAAACTAAAACTAGAGCATATATCAAAAATTCCTTTGAACAATTTTTAGATATGTATTTTTTCCTACATTCGTGCTAAATTAAAAGTGTATTTGTTTAAAAACAAGTGAATAAAATGGTATCAAAATAAGTATACAAAATCCAATATGGTCGACGTTCCCATAGCAATCGAACCAGATTTACTCTTTTTACAATAGATTTTACATCCCCAATGATACATGATGTCCCACTGAAAATATGAGCTCTCTAGGGTATGTAATAGCCGAGATAACCTTCAGGTGCCCCCACCACCCATTAAGAATTCATTCAGTAAGACATGTCAACAAAATCCAATATGGCCGCCGTATCCATAGAAATGAAACATTCTTCTCAAATGTGATCGCGGATTTTAAGACTCCTGACTATGCTTGTTATATGTGTGAAATTTGGTAAAATTTGATCCACTAATACGCGTGCGGGAAAGCCTTCAGGTATAGCACCCCCCCCCCCCCCACCCCCGTTTTAACTAATCTTCGGCATGTATATGACCTTATTTTATTGTAAGTGCCGTAAAACGTTTCTACTCAAACTCAGCAAACACAATTTACATAATTAATTTACATAAAAGTCTTGCATACCCACCCCTTGCTCGCCAGCACGTACGCCGGTAGTCTATCGCTTAATCCCCCCCCCCCCCTTTCCCCTTTTTTCCCAAGGAAAAAAAACTACAAACCCGACCAGAAATGAAACGGGGGGAAATTGAGGAGAGAGAGGGTTGGATTCCTCCTATTTAGCCAGCAAAGAAATCGCTTTGAATTCAGGCACCATGTACTTCTTCTTTCGATTCATTCATAGTACTGTCACCATCTTTTTTTCCAATTTACAGAAAAACGGTTGTGAGAACATTTACGGGTTGTTGTTTGTTTGGGGGTTTTGTTTTGTTTTGTTGTTGTTTTTCCGGGGGGGGGTTGTTTTGTTTTGTTTATTAACTTATCAGATCTCGTTAAATTAAAGAGTAATCTACTCTTCTTTTTTTTAAAATATAAATGAAAGACATACATGTAGTTCTACAGTCTGCTGTATAAATTCCACGACGCCAGTCGTTAGAGCACTAAATTACCAGGTACACAAAGTTGAGCCACAGTCTTCTCGCGATTTTGCGAGGAAAATATTGATGAAACGCCGTGAGTGTGGTGGCTTTGAGCACTAGCGTTGAGTTAATTGTAATAACTGTGCCTCAGTACTGTGTACATAGAAATTAACGATTAAGAGCAAAACTAATTTAGCACACACTGTGAGAGCCGTAGACAACAGACAGAGAACGTTAGTTCTTCCCCTATAGACATTGCCACTGTCTGTTAGGCCAGGGTTATCCTTTTGTTTCTGTAAGAGTTTTACGGCACTTGCAACACAATAAGGTCACATAAGTGCTGAAGATTAGAGGTGTTACAAGAGAGTGACAAACATAAAACAGAAGGAGAGATCAGGACGATAGATGTCTGATAGGAAAGAAGGAGCAGAGCGCACCTGAGCACTCGCCAACCACCCACGGTTATCCTTGCTACAGGCACAGGGGGCGTTTATTTGTTTTGGTAAGGGTTTTACGGCGCTCGCAGCTGCATAAGGTCTGATGAGCGCACGGGACACATTAAACATTTTCAGATTTCGCAGGAATCAATTTTGAATTTTGCCCAGGTGGCGGCAGAAGTCTACTCTTATTCTTATCTATTTTGGACCCACAAGGGATCTTTAACGTGCACAATTTACACACGGGGTTTCTGTGATTTTTCTCCCTTATCCGAGAAGGCTAAGTGTTAGATCCTACTTACCCTAAGATCAGTGGTGTGGCTGAAAGAGAGCAATTAAAGGAGCAAGAAGTAGCTTCAGAAAGGCTACAGAAAGAGTCGGGAACCCAGAGAACGGGGCGAAGGATTGGGGGGGGGGGGGAGGACAGAAAGTGGAAGCAGACAATAGAGAGCAGGAAAGGAGATGAGAGAAGAACATTTTTAGAAGAAAATTTTCTGTCGCTGTCAGGTTTCGAATCCGGGACCTACTGAATGAGAGGCAAACACCGTAACCTCTGGACAACGAGAGTCTCCATTGCCATAGTTTGTTAGGTCAGGGTTATCCTTACTACAAGACTTAAAACGCGCGGTATTTAGTAAGGCTTTACCCTGACAATGAAGGAATTATTAAACGACGATGAAACTTGGAGAATGTCATTTCTATTTTTCCAGAACGCTGTATGTGAAGTTTTGGGAGAATCGTATGGACTGCGTGAACTTGAACGTACTTCTTGTGAAGATATGCTATAGAAATACTAAAATATAGTCGTTTTCAATTCAAACAAATCAATCGATGGAATCGTATGGGTATTTAGAAGTAAAATCACCTGCAATGTTTTATATGTTAAATGTTTGCTTTGCTGAATACCCTTCTTATGTTGGATATTGGACAAGGAAGTTCCAGTAAGGATGTCTCTATCCTCCATCCTCATTGCTAAAGAAGTCAAGTGTGAGGCATCGTGTTAAAATCAGGGGCTCGTAAAAATAATGAAATCGAAAAAAAAACCCAGCATTTTTCTTCCCGTTTGGCAATTTTTATCGATTTTTTAGTGATCAATACCTTTTCTGGCCATTAAAAAATATTTTGCTGTGTGGATTTTACTGATAAATGTAGATTAAAGGGCACTAAGAAAAGGACTCTTAAGCTTTGGAAGTCACCAGACTTTGGCGATCATTTTCTCGCTAATTATACTTTTCAATCAAGGAGACCCCAACCACCTTCAATCCGAGATATTATGTCGACTCCTACTAAAGATACCAATGACTTTAAACGGCCAAAAATTGGCGAGCGCCTGATTCCACCGCGTC